AAAAAGGCATCAGCATTCTTTCATTGTATTAAAATATTTTGTCTTCTATGAGCTGAGTCATAACAAGCTGAGACGTATTTACTTCTTAGACAATTTTTAAACATTATAAACGGAGTACTTGCTCAGAATATTGCTACCACAAGCAAGGCAATTGACATTTTCAACCTTAATATGAATAAACTCCAACATTAGTATTGCAACAATGCAAATGACTGCAGTACCTCTTCCATTAATACTGCTCAACCAGGAAATTACTTTAAATTATGGTAGCTGGCAGTTATATATCTTGTATTTATGACTTCCCAGCAAATGCAGCTCAGAGTGCGAAGGCACAGTTTACTATTATAACAGTGAAACTTCTTAGTCTTAGGTTTATTTGTTTGTTTTAAAATAGATGAGATGCTACATCCCTCCTACTGAATTACACCACAAGAGCTGTCAGTAGGCCATCTGAATTCTGTTTTCCTGTCCTACATCAAGATCCCTCTGGATTAGATTTATTATTGCCTTCCTTCAATTGCTCCAACCCACAGCAGTCTCCTCTCTGGTGATGAGGACTAAAAATAGTTCCCTCCAGAGCCCAGCTCAGTAACTGTAATATCCAAACACACAGAGAAGGCAGATGTGCTAGTTGGTAGCTGAATGTTCTCTTTCACCACTTCCAGCCAAGAAATAAAGTCCCAGTGCTGGGCTCAGAATAAGGATTCAAGTATGAAAAACTAGTACTGGGTTTGAACGGTAAGTTGCTTTTGAATAGTAGGAACAAACTCTATTATGAACAAACTCTATTACAAACAAACAGGCAACTCTAACACAATGAAATTCACTTCTGTGCAGAGACAAGTAAACCCTTCAGAATAAATAGATTAGAGGGCATGTGAACTCATTGAATAATCAGTCATAATTAGCTATACATAATTATTTAAAATCTGCAGGTATCTTTTTCATATTTTAAAGATATAATTCTTAATACGTTTCTTTATTTCTTTATACAATATTGCCAGCCTCACTGAGAGAAAAGAGACAGTCGTCTGTTACTCTGTGAGCTATCCTATTGAAAACTGGGGAACTGGGCTCCTCAGTAGCCCAGTAAGAGGGTTAGAAGATGTATGTGAAGCTGACTGTATATGGGTTTTCTTTTCTCTCTTTCTTCTACAAATCAATAAAAGCTCTTTAAAGTGAAAAAGTTCTTCCCAATAATGCAAAGTTAATTATATTATTTCTACGTTTTACACTCTTAAATGCTTTGCAGTTAGGCTCCATGCCAAGATTCTACTTCACTGGATCATTACTTGTATAACACAATTAGATAAGGGCAGAGCATCCTGAATGAAAGCACAGTCAAGGATCCTCCCACACACAGACATGCTGGAGTTCTACGGACAAAATATGCAGAGGTTAAGGCAACTCCAGTGAGTCTACTTTGGACATTTTCCTCAGATTTTGCTGACATCAATGGGTTTTGCCTAAGACCCAGCCTTGGCATCCAGCAAATCCAACAGCAACGCTGCATTTGTGCCTGCCCAGTATCAGAGACAGGCTCTAAGACAGTCATATTTGAAACCATGTCTACGGCAATGGGGTTTATGTGGAACTATCTACTGTCATTCAAAATGGTCCCAGGCAGAAGGATGGAACGCTCTGTCCAACAGGTTCAATATGCAGAATGACTCAACTTGGCAATATGCAGAATAACTCAATTTATTGTATCATTCTTATATAAATGCTTTAGTATGGACACCAAAGAAAGCTGGACAAAAGCAGAATCAGGAACAAGGCTCTACATGGACATACAACAGAGGCAAGGATGATGCTGAACTCCCTAGATGTGTCTGTACTAATAAATTAAAGCATGCTTGTGAATTTGGCCTCCTGTGGTAGTAAACTGTTAGATATTCCCCAACACAGATTTGGCACATTCCAGCTACCCCAAATTCTCTGAAATCATTTAGCAGCTGTAACTAGCCAGTGACAATTCCCAATAAACCGTTTGTCTGCCCTTTTCTGGAGGTGAAGGCTCTTTACTAGCTCTTGGCCCTGGTACCTAGAACATTCCCAGACGTGTTTAATTTACTCCCATAGCCACAGAGTCTGTGATCACTACTTTATTTTATATGAAACATGTCTGTATCTTGAATTAGGATACAAGATAGTTGTGGCGTACAATAGGATTTGGGTTTCCAGAGTAGTCTGCTACCTTGGAGGAAGCAGATGGCTCTGGGGCTGATCAAGCTATTGTGGGAGATAAGGTGAGATAAGGTCCCCGGGCAGCAAAGAACTGGTGGTAGTACAACTGGTTTTGAATCCATACCCTCAGGATGAATCCCAGCATAACCCCTCAGGCAAGAAAACTTGCTTCCAGGGCTGCTTGTTATTCACTTTTTGATTGTTGTTTTTGGGGTGTTATTTTCCGGGTT